CTTCAGTATTTCTTATTCAGTTATGTTAGTATTAATATCAAATGAACTGGGTCAAGTTATTTTAAGTCTCTGCAATGTGTTTTTGTTTTGATGCAGAAGTAACTTCCGACTCTTTAATACTATAGTGCTTATACCCACTACACAAGATACTGTGAAGAACCTTTAAGAATGAACAATACTACAGAAATCCCAATTTACAATACTGCCACAGTATAAACAGACTTTTAAAAAATATAGTGTACATTTTTGCCTTCATCCTTTTTCATTACAGCATTCCCTTCTAATTAGAGTACTTTCAGCGGGTAGTAGTATGTAGCTATGCATTAATCAGTAAGCTCTCTTGACTAATCCAGTTCATTCTGTCTAGTAAGAGGATTCCAGCAGCAAACACACATACAGTTTTCAAAGCAGCAAGCCAAGAAAGGCAGCTCCAGAGGATATCAAGAAAATAGAAAGTGACAGATTGGTGTCACATAAGAGAAAGTATGGCAGGAAACACCCTCATGCTTTTCTCTGTATGAAGGCTCAAGAATGAGTAGGTATAGCAGAACATTTCTATTCTGCATTACAACGTTGTAAGTACGGCGAGTAAATAGCGTAATACAAGATTACATTATTCCTGATGAGGCAGAATGCTCTCATTCTGTTCACTGCTTAGGGAAGATTTATTTTTTTTATTCTTTAATCACACATATATTTTTGAAATTGCCCAGCCATATAGGAGTTAAGCTCCAATTTTAATTAACATGTCTGGTCTTAAGGTTTAACGATGTGAGCTTTCATTAAGTTACTGAAAAATAAAGGTCAGGCACAAAATTTTCCCCCAGAAAGTCAGCATTGTTGAGAATTCACAAATAACTTGAAAATAGTGAGAACAGACTTTCAAAAGTCTCAACCCTTTTTAGATAGGTGGAAATGATTTCCACTTACAGCAAGAATGGAGCTGGCCTATACATTCCTTCTTGCTGAATTATTTTTGACTTATTTTCAAAAAATGCAAAGGATATTTACAGTTATAACTGAGTGATATTAGTATGCGGTAGAAAAGGAAAAAGGTGTCAGCTTAGTTTTGATGTCTAGTTAGCCAACTGTCCTTGCCTTTTTTTTTTCTATCTTACCATTGGAATTCTTTGTCTCCTCAAAATCAATGATGTTTTCATTAAATCTAGAGATACTGCTCTGATGTTCTGCACACACTCTATTTCCACAAATCGGATGATTTTGGACTCATGATACTTTAACAGAATCTGAGGATTAAATAAAATGAGAAGATTAATGCATGCAGTGCGAGACAACACTTCATTAGTTGCAGTAACACAGCAACATGCTACTTGCAGCATGGAAAAATATTTCCAAGCAGCCGAATTCTACAGAGGGCTCAAATCTCCCCAGATGTGAAGGTGTCTTGCTCAGACCCATCCAAACCCTCTGACAAGCTCTTCATGCAGCTTCAGAACCCCCGAATTCACTAGCACATAAGCCAGCCTCACTCCTCTACCTAGGAAGCTACTGCTACCTCCCGCCATGCCAGAGGCTCACCACTAAAAGCCTTGGCCTGCTGGAACTACAGGACTGCATCCTGACTCGATCTGAAGGATCTTTCAGACAGAGAACAGAAGTTACTTTGAACAGTCTTAAAGTATCTGTCTTGGAAAAAGTCACCCAAGTTATAAAAGACAAACTGGTATCTGTTCACTTATAACAGCCTTTTCAGGAGAGCAACAATGACACACTGTTTTCTAGACAACTACTTTTCAGAATGCTTTTGACAACACCATCTCATGTAAGCTACTTACAAACTTCCATCTATTCTCTTTCTTGCAGCCAGTACAAGCCTCCATTTTGTGTGTAGCATATCCCCAAGGAGATGCAGGATTATTTGCTTATTGCTGATGATCACCTGGGCAAGAGTCCTACAAGCTTTTACTTACCCACAAGTGACACAGGTGCCATTTTGTGCAAATCAAACATTTCCCTCTTCATAAAACAAGTTACTTCAAGCTCGCTATATGCCTCGACAAATACAGGCTCCTAACTGTACTGCAGGCATTCACATGAATAAGACACGGCTATGCAACAACAGTTAAGAACAGATATGATGCATTAAAGTTTTATTTCAATACAACATAAAAAAAGCCTAAAATGTCTGTGAAGGCGTTTCCCTGTTGCCTTGCACTAAGATGCCAGCAGCAGCCAGAAAGTTAAGTATTAATTCCTCAGCTTGATAAACAGATGGGCTTTGGCCTCAGCAACCCCTAAATTCACAGGCACATACTTTTTTTTCCATGTAATACATTTTTACCGTTATCACCATCTTGGGCCTCCACCTTCAGCTTGAATGAGGAAGTATAAGGGAAGATATGCCTTTGCCCCTTGGAACTCCATTCACTTCAGAAAACTCTACATGGGTATGCTCCAGAGGTACAACTGGCTATAAGACTTTTCAAAACTTCGAAGGTATGGAATGCGATATTCATTCCCTTTTCCTCTGAAAACCCTACCCAGGGTTTCTGGGAAACATTGACACGCCTGTAATGCTTATTTGCTCAGCAACATCTTAGCTTCTCTAAGAATGAAAAACATACTACATGCAATTTATTTAGCACTATTAGAAAACTTAAATACGTTATGGCACAACACAAAGTACATGTATTTTTTTTTAATAACATCAAAAACACTCAGAGACGAACTCACTACAGAACCTGCATATATTTTTTGCCTCATATCACTGATGGGAAGGAAGTGGATATTGAAAATGGAAAACATCAGTGTTGCTGACTCAAACTCAAAGAGGAAGGTTATAGATGTATTCCAGAATCAACCTTTTCATCACATAGGCTCAGAACGAGCACAGAAGCAGAGACCGAGTGTTATCAGATACAGGAAAAAACCCACCTTTGTGACAGACTCAACAAGAGATCTGGCCTACAGCATATAGGCTGCAGATTGCAGATATTATGCTTGCTTAATACCATATTACGAATAACTTCTGCTGAATTACTTCTTGGTTAGGAAAAGCATTCTAAAATCCTTGCTGTAGTGCATATCAAGAGTTTAAATATTTTTTCGTTCTCAATATGTGAGAAATGGTTACATACAGATTTCATCATCTTTCAACTTTCTCAAAGTTCTCTACCTGCACATTTTCTCCCCTCAAAAAGTGAGCATTTTACATAGCTGCTTCCCTTTCCTCAAGCCTTGCATTTCTAGTGGAGTCAGGGCAAAATTACTGAGTCCTTGTGAGCATCCAGCTCCACCTATGCCAACAAGTCAAAACAACTATTTCATCTTTGGCTCCTCTTCCTGCGTATCTAATGTGCCATTTGTTTTCTGCCTTCCTCCATCATTATTGCTCAAAATAAGAGCAAAGCAACTTGGCTGGAAACGCCTTTGACTGAGGGCGTATCTTCTGCCAGGTAGCTTCAAGGAAAATGTAAACTACTTCTGTTCGGCAGGATACAGTTTTCAGAAAGGATGTAACAGCTATTGAGCTACTGCTACACTTCAACTTTGCCATTTACCATTTGAGCTGAACAAGAGTTATTGACACTGACTTCAACAAAGGACGCTTGTGTATAATCACAGAAGTCAAGTGCAGTTTGAAAATAACTCCTGCAAATTCTAAGAAGGACATTTTACTGCTTAATGCACAAAGGCCCAGTGAAAATAAATCTAGTAGTCAGTAGAAATACGTTTCTGTGCACACCTTGTTCTGCACAGAGGAAAAAGCACAATACTTACATTTAATGTCCTTTCCAGAAATTAAAACCACAAATTTGAGAATTTGCCTAGATTGACACCATCTACCCTTAGAAGATGTAAAGACCAGCCAGTGGAAATACCAGTGCTCTGTCAGTGCCCAGAGCCAACCTGAGGCCCTATGACAACATTACTGCAGTATTACTGTGCTTTATGTACTACACTTCTTACAGGGACTTACAGCATCAGCTTCCATCCTAGATCGCACCAATCTTCATTAACTGAGAGTACTGCCAGATCATGCAGGTGCCTCCTTGGCTATATCAGAGATCTAACCAAAAGTCTTCCAGTGTGTGTACTAATCCTGACACAGAAGTACTTTAGAAGTGAGGCTATAGGTCTGCTCCAGCCCTGACAGACTCCTTGGTGCCTGTGAAGAGAGCACTATATATGAGAATTACATCCAATACTGCAAAGACTTATCCAATATTTATTGCAAGCATATAACTCAAGTTTCTCTGGTCCTTTCATGTACTTGATATGATGTATGTGGGTGCATCATGTTGAGTCAGGTTCCAACATACATTCTTAATTACGGGGCAAACACATATCATCCGTAAAGATAATAACTGAAATCTTCAATTTTAGCAAGAACATCCAAAAAGCAAGACCAAAATGTCCTTTATAGTCAGTATGGATGAAAGATGTAGGTAGACAAGGAAAAAGGGGTGAGGGGCCATGCATTTCACCATCACATTGCAAGACTCGTCTGCATTATTATAGAGAATTTTAAATCAGAGCTGGTTAAGATAATCTTAGTTTGACACAACATACATTTATTTTAAATTGCCACTATATCTTAACTAGTTATCACAAACAACATTATCTATAATACAAAGCTGTTCCAATAGATCTCTCAGTGTTCCAGTTCTGTAGTTAAGTATTTTTGGTGAAATTACAAACAGTAGAACTTAAATTTATTCTTTTGCATCTAAAATATGAATCAATGTAAAGATTAGGTTCCATATAGTTATATATAACAAATCTCACTGTGCACGAATAATCACTGACACTTTTAACCACTTATCTAGCTTTCAAGATGAAATAAATCAGATATTGGCATTTTAGATACTAGATGTTGACTTCCATGGTGTCAAATAAGAATTCTTACTTCATGTGAACAGGGACCTTTATCTCTAGTACAGAAAGCATCCAAATGCTCTTGTGACATTGTACAGAGGCCAAGAAAATATCATGCAGCAGAAACGTCATCACTTTGTGCTTAGTGATGTTTTCTTCTATTAGTATCTAGTGCTAAATCCTGAGAAGTCAAGCTTGGAAATCTCCTTTTCATTGGAAAAGTTTGTTCGATCTATGCGAGAACTTGGGCTTCCAACTTTAGTCAGCCAGGATTTCCTGCAAGAAAGATGAGAGGGTTAGCACATAAAGAATAAGTTTACTTCTCTCTTGTTTTCACACCCTTTCTCCTTTAAAAGCAAAAAAACCCCAGCCCTTTTTTAAATAAAGGGGTTTATTTAAATAAAAGTCAATATTTCAAGAAGTATTACAGAATATTACATAAAACCACATCCAACTAAAGGCTAAAGCAGGTTTACTTTAATGCTCCCTTTAAAGTACTTACTGATAGCATTCAAATATTAGCTTTGCAGATTCAATACTATTAGCAAGAATCTAAAAGCACTGTAATTGAAAAATAGTATGAAGAAAGAATTCTAACAGCCAGTTTATCTTTTTCCAACAACTAAGAGAAATGGAAACTGAAGTGAAAATGTAAGTTCAAAACCAGCAAAGACACATAGAGCAAACAAAAAGTCAAAATGATGTCACAACGCAATACTAAACTGTAATAATAAATTCTGAATTTTACACAGGCATTCCTAATTCTTAAGTGGTGATTTTGCATGTATTTCCATTACAAACCAATCTTTAATTATGCTGGTGCTCGCCTTCTTCCATAGCACACTAGAAAAATAGTGCAGAAAACAACTTAACATGAGGTAATTGAGGCTGGCTGCTCCTACACCCACACCCACTATATTCCGATCCTGCAGGAATTCCCTAATTCAGTCATGAAACTATTGTGTGATAAAAGGAGGTGCACAAACACTTGAAGTGCAGCAGATGACACTGCTTGCAGAGAAGTTTATTTACAAAAAATACTTTCCGAGCATTTTCTGTTGTACTGAAGTCTCACAAATAGGAAAGAGAAAGTATTTTACTGTACCATATTTAAGGAAAAATATTTCCTCACAGTTACATTTTATAACTTTAACGATACACAAAGCGGTATAGATACATAACTGTGGTTAGTATTAAAAAATACGAATTTAAATCCCAATTTGAAGACCACAAAAGTTATCTTATTAACAGTTAATTAATCCATTGAAAAAAATCACACTGAGCATTATAAAATGCAATGTTCTTGCAGTGAGACTTAATTTTGGTATCTTTATAATGAAAATTGTGCCTAGAGATTGCTTATCTTCAGCCAGTAAATAAAACACCTGAGGTATAGCAGTGTCTCCTGTTAGAGACCCTATGCTGACAAGAGGGTGGTTTATTTTTATTTTTTTAGACAATTTCTGACAACGTAACACTGCAAAACATCTTGTATGTCTTAGGTGGTTACCAGAGACAAGTAATTTTCTCCAAACTGTGCCCGTCCTTCATAAGATTGGTCTCATTACTAGCACAGACAGTTCCAAACATGTATTCAGGACCTACGCAACTAACCTCATTTTTCAAACTCCACAGAGTCTCTTGATTATTAAGAAATATTTATATCCTTACCACTTTCTTAATAAAGTAGGTATGTCCTACTACTCATGTGTTTTGAAATAGAACCCTAGGAATACACTTGGTGGATTATAGACTTGCGGTGCCAAAGAGCTCCATGAGCTCCTTCCTATTTGACCACTGAAGTAAAAGCTCTATATAGAAAGACTTCCTAGAAAACACAAACCAGATAGAGGTATCTCATGTTCAAAAGGTGACAAGCCTTAATTTAGGATACAGCAATTAGAAGTAATAAATATTTGTCAGATGTTTCTGCATCTTCACACCTCTTGTTCTTTGCCTCATGTTGTGAACAACCTCCCTTCTGGTCTGTTTTAGATGAAGCCTTTCCAGTACGGAGTACAACACAGGAATAGGAGTCTGTGAGTGAAACGGGGGAATCCAACTTTCCACTTTCCACCAGAGCCCTAAAGGCAGACCACATCTTTCAAGAAGGAAAAAAGCCTAGTAATAGACCAGTCCATTTTGCTCCACATTATGAAAAATCTGAAGACCCTCCTGTTTATTTAGCAGAGGTCTCTAATATAGTTGGATGTCCTTGAGCAAGAAAAAAAAACACATGTATTTGAAATACTGAGTTACTTTAAAAAAAAACTGTACTATTTTAGAAGACCAGCGTGATATCCACAAGTGAACAGACTTTTTCCCCTTTTTTTCCTCTCATTTTACAAGGTGAGCTTGTCCTAGACAAAACCAAAAGATACATATTCCTTGCCTAGTCTTCACAACTGTACCTAAGACCAAAATTAATCCATGGCTGCTTTCAATTCCCAAGTTCCACTGCAGAAAGAAAGTAACTCTGCAAATGTTGCACAGAGCGTTATTCATTGTCAGCTCCATATACTCTCACATGAATAAGGATAAAGCACAAATTATAAGAATCCAATTAAAACAATCCAGCTCCATGGAAACTCTTTAAAGGATGCACATTTTTTATTCCTTATTTAATGCATGAGGTAGGCAAGTATTACAGAACTGCTCCCTACCTAGGATTTGCATGACTACAGGGGCTCAGTTCTTCACCAAGATGCAAATACTTTGCAATAAGACTTTCTTCATTGATTTTTCCCTTACTTTGCTCAGGTGACAGACCATTCACTGAACACTATGAAGCAGCACATTTTTTACAAGCTAAGAAAGCAGGAAATCGGTATTTGCTAGAAGTAGTACACAGTTATAGTGGTTTTCTCATTTATCTACAGAGCAGAAAATGTCATCTCCAATATCTTTGGTAAGGGCAGTATTTTTAAAATGGTTTTAACTTTCAATTAGTAACCAGATCAATAGACCTGAATTAAGAACAGGTTCTGTATCCTCCCTACTTCACTCAGCTTTCTTGATTTTTTAAATTTTTTTCTTTTTCTTTTTTTTTTTTTCAAATCACCCAATGTGTGCCAGAGATTAGTTACAACTACTAGCATTTGGAGTTTTAGCTTGCCATTTATAGCATCCATTTTAAAATTCACTGCTGCTACCCACTTCTATTCAGGAGTAAGAAAGACAGCCTGCACCTCGCTTCTCACATGGGGTACATCTGAATCAAAATGAGGACATTCCTTTAGTCTGCGACAGGACAGTATAGAGCTTGCTCTTCAATTTTGAAAGATCTATTTCTAAAGCTACACTGCTTCAGTGAGTCCGGAATGAGAGCTAATCTCCAAAGAGCCATTTCCTATCATGTTTTATTTCTCAAGCATTGCATATCCATGCAACCGGTCCTGGCCATGCTCCGATCTCACTGCTCGAAACCAAACTGGCTGTGTGGGGACTAGACCAGCTCAGACACACTTTAATCACAGATTTATGAGTTATACAACCTCCCTGTCTGGGCGAGAAGCCAGGCAGGCCAGCACCCCAGGGTCTCTCCTCAGGCTGTGCAGCACTCGCGGCAACCCCCTCCCACCTTCTGCCACAAGGTTGAAAACACCCAGCTGATTGGTTCATTCAGACAGGTGGCACCTGACAATTGGCTGTTGGCAGCATGGACCACCCACCTCTTTCTGGAAGCTTCTCCACAGCCTCACAGCCAGCAACCACCCCTCACTCCCAGGTGATCCCCTGCAACCAGGCCCCATCAGCCCCAGCTGCCACACCTGCGCAGGGCTCTCACAAAAATACCCCAAAACAAACCTGAACACCACTCCCCAGCGCAGCTGACACTGCAGCCATCGGTACAGAAGCCACTCAGAGCACAGGGATTTTCTCTCAGGTCTGAGTTTTACTTCCTCAGCCCGGTGAGGACAGCTTGCCTGAAACAGCTTCCCAGCCAAACGTAAACACACGCTTTTGCTATCCCCATATTCATGGTGGCTTACTCCTAGGAGTTTAAAACAATTGGATCCATCAATCTTTTATCATTTCATTAACTAAAACGAACCTTGCTAAGTGACTCAGGCTTGCTACCTAGGCAACTGGGCACTTCCCCTTCAACATCTTATTGGAAAAGGACATCAAGAGCCAGGTTTGCACCACCCCAGTTCAGGTTCTCACAGAAACAGCCTGGCTGCCTACAGCATTCCAAGCCGCTGTCTCCTGCAAGCCCAGGCGCACGTGCCTACCTGTTAACTTGTCAGAACGAAGCCTGACCCGGTCAAGCCTGGAGAGTTCTCTGGAGCTGTTAATTAAGGAGCCTTGCCTCTGTAATACAAGATAAAACTAGCACAGCCCTAGGAAAAAAAAAACCCACACTTTGAATACTCCATGCAAAAGAGTAACTTTAAAAAAAAAAACAAACAAATCTTATTCAAGGAAATCAAACTGAAATCTGTGCTATAAAACAGATTTCTAAAATAAATGGCCTGGTTGGCATTATCCTCTGACTGAAGCCTCTTTGTACTTCCATAAGGGAAAAGTAACTCTGATACGGGAAGAAACAGGCCGTTCTGCACCTTTACAGAGCAGGCACAGCAAATAAGAACGTAAATGAACTACTCATTCTTCCTGTGCTAGACTCTGTATCAAACCATCAATATACATAAGAAGCTTCTGCAGTAGGTTCATTTATTGTATGCAAAAAGCCAAACTATTTTATCCTGAGATTGGAGCAATTTACAGTCTATAGTGCTAGAAACAGACCTGAAAATGACCTTAATACTTGGTGAGCCAGGCACAGTTTAGGAATATGTTTGTTCCTCTTCACCTTAACCAGTGCCACTTACAGTGGAACAAGAGAAATGCGTGCTTTTATTTAGAGGGAGAGAAAACAAAGGCACTGGCTTATTTATGCTTTATTTCCCTTTGTTTGGGATAAAATATTGGAGAGAATGTTGCTTTTTGAAGATTGTATTTACATCTGTGACAGCGTATAGACTAGGATTGCAAATGTTTATAAAATACCTCCAAAATGTTGTTGTATTCTGAAACAGTACTGTCAAGTTTTCATAAATGCTGATATATAAATCTTTGCAAAAGAAATGTGGAATTCTTTTTCATTGCTGTCTGGCTTCTGAATTTTTGGGAAGAACTTTAGCCACGGTTTTCAAGCTTTGCTCTACAATCAAAAAGGCTAAGAATATTTTACTCAAAACCTTTGTTCTTATAAACCTGAAATTAACATCTAGGTAAAGCCTCCAGTAGCCTGTATAGTAAAGATATCTCAC